ATTACTACCCATGGGATGAAAGAACTAAGGGTCCCTTCGTTTCTTGTTTCCAGGTGTGACTTGCCCCTTGTCCAATGTGAATATATTTTTTTAATATTTTTTTCTTTTAATGATAATTGAGTAAGAACTCGACAAAAAATACACATTATTGGAATATTGTTGGAAAATTAATTCTCACTTCGTAAAATATAATTTATATATATTATTATTAGGTAATTGAAAATTTAATCTTTCTGTTTATATTTATTGTTTTTATATAAAACTTTTTTTTTCCATAACTCACGCACATGTTATATATTAGATACAGAATTTAAAATTACAACTTTATTTTTAAAAAACATTTAAGAAGACCCTTGGTTTCATTTGTTTACATAAATTTATTATTTTATTAGAAAAATTAATCTTTTGCTCCTGATAGTTTTTACTCGTTTGTAACTCAACTCATACTTTGACTAGATGCAACTCATTCCCTATAGTTTTGACTCGATTGTAACTCAGTCCCTAAATTTGACTCGCTACAACTCGGTCCTTATACTTTTAACCTTTTTATAATTTAGTCCTTCCTTTTATTAGATATATAATTTTATTTTTCAAAAAACACAAGAACTAAATTATAAAATGAATAAAATTATGGTAATCGAATTGCAACAAGTTAAATTTCAGGAATTGAGTTACACTTGAATCAAAACTATAAGGATTGAGTTGCATCAAGTTAAAGTAAAAGAACTGAGTTATAAACGTGTAAAAACTATAAAGATTAAAAAATTAATTTTATTTTATTTTATTTAATTATTATGTCCTCGCTTCAATGGAATAATTCCCGTTTGAACCATAACCCCCAACCTCTTTGACCTGATGCCGGGTCCTGCTTTTAGAATATATATATATATATATATCGGGTCACGAATGAGGGAGTTTAGAGATTGTACTTGTTTCATTAAAGGGCAAATTACCCTCGCAAAGTCATGCTTTTACTTATTTGCTATACGTACCCCTTGTAATGGAGTTTGGACTTATCTATTAAAGGAGGATCCATGAGTATTTTCAATATAGATATCTCAGACAAATTATTGTAATTGAAATCACTTAATATCAAATTTGGTTGCGTACTTTTGCAAACTTAAAAGACATTTTATTTTGACGTTAATTTTAAAGTGATTAAATATGATCCATTTATAAATATACAGTGAGTTTTTCCATTAATATAAGTGCAAAAATTTTTGTGGTGAATATTGTAGGGAAAAAGACAAAAAATACCCTCAAATATATAAAATTCCAAATCAGTGTTCGTGAAAAGCAAAATCTCACATCAGTACCTCGGTACTGATTTGGCATTTTCAGATGTTGACAAAAGACAAGCTTGCCCTTAATAAATTAACAAAAAGAAAGACACTGTGCCCTCTAATTAATCCTTTTCCTTCCAGTTCTTTTGCAGATTTCTCTCTCCCCTCCTCACTCTTTCTCTCTCCCTTCCCCCAACAACCTCACCATCAGCTTTATACCCACCAAATTAACTCTCTCTCCCTCCTCACTCTTTCTCTGTCCTTTTCTCACCTTCCTTTTGTCGTTCCTTCACCCATAGCCGGTAATGGTGCAGATCTGAAGAAGACGATCTAGACCTCATTAGCATCGGAACTTCAAAGCCCATATTATCGAAAATGAAGGCAGAAGTAGAACGATGATGAGCTCTTTTGGCTCCCAAATGTTGGATCTCATTCATATCGATGTAAGGGTCTTGAAGCTGCATATAATAGTCAATCATAGCTTGAGCTTGCTACTTATGGTTACTCTCAAACATGGCATCGTTTCAGTCAAAATCCATGGCTTTCTTCTTCTTCGGTTGCTTCTTATCATCTCTGTCATCCGATAAAATTAACGAACTAAAAATATCCCTTTAGTTGTTCATCCTAGAACTGGAATCTATCTCAAAATGCAAGTTGTGGAAATACGAATAATCATCCAAATATTAAGAAATGGGAAGGAGCGCCTAATCTCTATAAAGATTAACTGGTCGTTATTGTTTCTAGGTTGGCCTGAGTTGTGCCCTAATGAATCATTAGGATGATGAAGAAATACATATATATAATATAGATAGAAGAAAGTGAGTGCACAAATATGAATGCCTTGTTGAAGATGGTGTAGTTTGATTGATGGAGACTTTGACTCATTTTTTGTGACAAAAAAAAAAAAAGACTGAAGCTTTGAAACTGTTTGAACAAGAAAAAAAGAGAGACAATAAAGCGGTAGCACTTGTCCAAATAGTGAGCAATGTTATTGCTAGTTGGATTTATGTGATGACAGTGTATGAATTAGGAGTTCACTACTTCATCAAACTTTTTGGTAACTGTGTAACATTTGGTGGTTATTTGTATATGAAAGACGCCATTTGAATTATATATAATATTTATTGGTTAATAACACTTGCATATGTATTCATTATAAATAATGTGAAAAATTTATAGCAGGGCACGCTAAGTGCTATCACATAAATATATTAACAACTTTGTTAGGCGAGTTGATGATTTTTTTAAATAGATTTGCAACACTCTTATATGTATTAAAAACAAATAATCAAGAAAATGCATTACAACTTTGTTAGGTGCATTAACAACTCTTTCAAATGGATCAACAACACTTTTATATGTATTAACAATAACTAATCAGAAAAATTCATTACAATTTTGTTAGACGTGTTGTCAACTTTTTCAAATAGATTAACAACACTTTTATATAGATTAACAACAACTAAGCATGTTGCTAACTGGTTAAGGCCGCTAACAACTCTTCCAAATATATTAACAACAATTTTATATATATTGATAATAAGTAATCAACAAAATTTATTACAGGCCAACCCAATTGAGAAACTTAGGCAAATCAGATATTGTCTCATTGTTAGGTGTGTTGACAATGCTTTCAAATTAACTGACAACACGTTTATATAAATGGACTACACTAACTTATTTTCTACATTATCTTTTCTTTTTGTTAATTTATCAAGGGCAAGCTTGTCTTTTGTCAACATTTGAAAATGTCAAATCAGTACCCCTATCCTGATGTGAGATTTTGCTTTTCACTAACACTGATTTGGAATTTTATATATCAAAGGTATTTTTTTGTCTTTTTCCCAATAACGTACATGCTTAAGCATACTAAACGACAAATGAATAATTGTTTTTCCTCTTACAGAAGAACATTTTATTGCTTATTTATAACGTAGGAAAAACTAATATGCAAGTGCTTATACTTTTTCCTCATTTTGAATCAAATCTTTAAAGTTACTTTCTTTTTCTTTATACAATAATTGTTCCAACTGTTTTATCTATCATCCTTTAGCTTAAAAAATTTTAGGTTGGCGTTAAACATTGTTGAAGAATATGATGAGGTGAATTGATCGACGGATCAAAGAGAAAATATGCCGATCAATGGTGGTGATGCTCACAGTGGTCCAATTCTAAAAGATACTGGCAAAGAATGTCACTGTTTCAAACAACCCATTGCTTTCTATTAGACGTCTTAATGGACGAGTCAAATTTAATGAAGTACTTATTTGGAGCTACTTATCATAATTACATCTATGTAAATTGAGACAAAATGTTTCTCATATACTACCTCCGGTCCTAATTATAAGATCCAGTTGACTAATTTGAGGAGATTAAGAAAGTAAGTTGAGTTAGTTATTTGTCCTAAATAAGTGTTATTTTTCCTAAAATATCCTTACTAATCAAGTGTATTGACTAGAACTATTATTGTTAGAAGGGCTACTTTGGAAAAAAATGTATAAATACGAGAGATAAAGTGGATTAGGGTCTTACATTTAGGACTAAAATAAAAATTAAACAGGGTTTTATATTAAGGACTGGAGGTAGTATTTGTTTTGTACATCGCAAATCATGATTACAAACTGCTTTTAAAAGCTCAAGTCATCATTTCAAACTAGGCTTGAATTGAGAGGATGAGAGGCAATGATTGTGACATACTATGATGGAGAAGCAGCAAAATTGGCAATGGCAAGGATAAAAACATAGGAAATGTGAAAATACTGAAAAGGAGTTGATTAAACTTTAGAAGAGGATAAACGATATTTAGAAACCAAAATTTTGAAGGGAAAAAAAAAAGAAACCAATATCAACTTAGGAAATGTGAAAAGTCAAGAGCGACAAATAAAAATTAGAAAAGAAAAAAAAACAAAAACACAACTATTGGGCGAAAAAAAACATAGTCATCTTAATTTTGGATGAACGACTGTACTACCTTCGATTCTAAATATAAGACTCAGTTTGTGATGTAATTTATATTATAAAATATGTTTTATATTTAAGACCAGATGAGTAATATTTTTGTCTTGTTGTTTCAACGAAGCTTACTGTTTTATCCAAAAAAAAAAAAAGAACGGATGAAACCGCAGGAACCATGAGAATCTAATTAAAAAGGAACTAACTTTAAGGACCTAATTTAAAATGAGGTATAAATATAAAGACTTGCATTTTATTTTAGTTTTCCCTATAACATATAACAAAATAAAATAAAATAAAATAACAACAAAAAATAATATAGAAGTAAGTATGCTGTGTATATTAAAAATATTAAAAGGAAATAAAAATAGTAAAATATAATAAATAGGGACATGACACATCACCTCAAAAGGTTTTCTTAATATATATTTAGTTTTTGTAAAAGAAATCCAATCCGAAATCCTAAACATCCTTGAAATCTTCCTAAAAGATGAAGACATTTAGGTTACCATAAAATAGGGCATGAATAACAAGTGTATAATGGTGATACTGATAGAATTTTTTTTTTGACCAGCAGGTGATACTGATAGAATGAACCATAGATAAAGTTAAAAAAAAAAAAACATAAAAAAATAAAGAGGATGAAAAGCGTTACATATGCATTTCATATTTCATATTAATAATAATAATACGCCTCTATGTCCCGGCGGTGGTATAGTGTCGGAGAGGCATATGAAGTATCTTTTTATATTTTTCCCGTTCAACCAAAAAAAAAAAAAAATGTCGAATCCTAAGCATCAGCGTGAGTCTCTGACTGCCAGTGTGGTCGATTCGTCCCTTCGGTATCACACTGCGAATGTTGCGGAATCAGATGGACAGTCCTCAATCAGAAGCACGAAGTCTTACCCGCCCGCAAACGCTCTCTATGAGGACCTCGCTAACAGTTCGGACCTTTTCTGGAAAAACCTTCAGGACTTCCACAAATCCTTGGGCGCCAGCTTAAAGTGAGTGGGATTTCTAGTGTGTTAATTATGCTTTTCACTGATCATTTGTGGCGTTCGTTGGAGTTATTGCAGTCATTGAATGCCCATTGATGCGGGGCAACAATTTTTCTTTCACTTTTCGCCCTTGAGTGGATTTCTGTGCAGTATAATTTGTAATCATGGGGTTTTATTGGCTAAGGACCTTCTTGGTTGCTGATTTTCTTGATTATTAGTTTTGGATTATTCGTTTCTGTTCCGTTCTTTCTTTGTGTTTATCCTTGATTTGGTCGTGGACTTCTTTTTGCTTGATTTTAACGTAATCCTTGGTGCATTTTTTGGAATCCCAGGAATTCGCTTCTGTGACACTAGCTCTCTTATTTATTTCAAACCCATGTTTTTTATCTCAAACTCCATCCAAATAGTTGGGAATCTGGAAAAGTCAATTCAGACTGCTAGAATGATAACGAAAGCCTGATTATTCATGCTTTTTACACCATTGGTGGGATGATGATGTGCCAATATCTTTCTCTTCTACTACGTTTGTACAATAACGATCACAAATATAACTTCTCAATTTCTCAGAGGATATCTTTTGGAAACAAATGTTACCATCACTGGGAACTCATGACTTTGCGATGAATTTAAGCATGATATTCTAATTTTTTTTAGTGAAGCAAATGGTTAGGTGAGTGAAACTTATCTTGCAATTGGACCTTCTAAAGGTGGGAAAGAAACTCTTAATATGCAACTTTATACAATTGAATCAAGTTGAGGTTTTACCTTTCTTTGATCAATTTGGGCTTATGCTCAAGTAAGTTGATGCTTCCTTCTGATTGGCTCTACACAGCTTAATAAGTTGCAGCCTGTGCTTTTCTCTTCTTTATCTTTGTGTTAAGTCATGTCTGAAAGCGTGGCATGAATAGCAAGTTGCTCATACAATAGGTTAACAAAGCTGACATTCTTTTTCCCTTTATGTTTGCGTAGAGTTCCTACTATAGGAGGAAAGCAACTAGATCTATACCGCCTTTTTATTGAAGTCACTTCTCGTGGTGGGCTTGAAAAGGTATCTATTGATTTTTCTTAGGCATAAAAAATTTATTCTTCAAGAAATGTTACAAGAAAATCCAAATATTCTTTTCTCATATATTATAAATTGTATGTTCCTTTTCTGATAAGATATTGGTCAACTTGAGTTAGTTACAAAGATAAGTGAAAAAGGACATTTTCATTCCAGTTGATAAGATGCTTGTTTTAGAGATTCTTAAGTTTGTAACTTAAATGTGACTCTGCTCAGTTGTCTTAAATATTTTGTTGAATAGATTATTTTGATTCTCCTTTTGGGCATGTTCTTGTACTAACAGGTAATTGGAGATCATAAATGGAAGGAAGTGGTTACAATCTTCAAATTCCCGAACACTGTAACAAGCGCATCATTTGCATTGCGTAAATACTATCAATCATTGCTTTATGACTTTGAGCAGGTTTATTATTTCCGGAAGCAAGTTCCTTCTTTTTCAAAACCTGGTAAGAAACAACGTTTGTTATTTCTCTTCTCTAATTATGATTTATCAGATTTTACTCCATTGACAGATTGATTGTTTCATACCATCAGATTCTGGTAGCAGGAGCATATTGACCTCAAAGGAAGGGGCTGCTTTGAGTGATTTACCAGGTCAGTGTTATCGACCTACCATAAGTGTGATAGGTTTACTGCGTTGATGTGTTATTGATTTGCCAGTAGTTATATATTCTATGCAATCCAAAAAATTTTAAAATTGGATCTATGTCCAGTCACGCAGAGATGAAATCTCTAGCATCAAGTATAAATAGTAGATTTTGTTTCTTCTGCCTTTGGTGCTGGGCCTATATCTTTGTTTGTTTGGGCACTATTGTATTAAATTTATTAGATTAATTATTAACTTTGTCCTTAGAAGATTACTCCTTTCATTTTGGTCCTTTTACTGGAAAGCCCCTCAAATCGATCCCCAAAACATTTTCAACTGAAGATTGTTTACATTTTAACACTGGTTAACATTTCTTTGTGTTATGATTAGTTTAAATATTTTGTTTTAATTAGGCCATGATAATCATCCTATTTCAACATGCAGAAAAATGAGTTTTATATAGTCTTTGACATATTTACTTGATAGTTTTGAAATCTCTTTTTGTTTTTTCATAAAAGTAGCACCCCTGCCATCTACTAAGTTTAGAGGAAAAATTTACACAAAATTTCGACAGTAGTCAATATGAATGCTGAACTAACCCTAATTAATGCGGGTTCATGGAGAGCTTAGGAGAAATGTGCCATATGACAAAATGAACAAAAAAGAAATAAAGAGGATGATGACTAAAAGTATAATTAAAGTCGAAATTAAACCAATTGTTATAATTTTATAATTTCTATATTTATTCTTAATTCCTACCAATGATATCGAAGCAATGATATGATTTAACAGAGCTCTGCTCAAAATATGAATGCAACAGCAAAAAATAAATGCAAGAAGATAACAATTGAGGGAAATACTGATGTTTTCGATCAACAATGCTCTCTCCCAGTTGGAGACAAGGCAATTTAAATGATTATAGTTCTCCTAAGATAATTTTAAAAATTGAAACCGTAGCTGTTGAAACTATGTCTAGTTTGAGTGAATGTTGTATGCTCACTATGTCTAGGGATTTGTGGAATTCTTAGGAATACATGTAGTTTGATGTTTTTACTCAATAATATAAGATCATACGTAAATTAGATGACACATACTCCTAGGTTGTAGTAATATAACTGCTGGTGGTTTTGATGAGAATAGACCCATATGGGTTGTGTGGCTTGAGGGGAGAGAAAACTAGAGAGGAAAATGGGATTCAGGGTTGTACTGGAAACAAGTGTAGAAAGGAGAGAGAAGGCTTAAGAAAAGAAGTTTTTCTAGTGGAGAGTGTCCTACCTCTTGAAAGTATAAGCTGTGACTGTTTTCCTTAGTTTTCTATATTTTTTTACTTGTTATCCATAGCTGTAACTCTATCTGTTGTGGCAGTAGTTTTCTTTATATTTCGTGTTACTAAAGAATGAAGATATGAGGCTCCGTGACCTGTTAGAATCAATGCACTCAACTACCATCTAACAATATTTACATAAAGACGATCGACTACTATCTTCATTTTTTGATATAACTCAGTATTTTCAAGTCATTTTGGGTTTGAGACTAATCTCTGTTGGGTCGGGAGTGTTAAGGCTAAAGCCCTCACAACAAGCGCTTTTCCGGGGATTCGAACTTGTGTTCTTCTCCTTACGGGGGTGAGACCGCTTACTATCTCAACCAACAGCTTGTTATTATCGACTACTATCTTCTAATTCAACATTAGTCAACATAAATGATAGTCTACAGAAGAAATGGAGCTTCAAGTACATGACAGTGTGAGGATCTAACCGAAGGAAGGGGATCACCCAAAATTCGAAGCATGGGAAATCTTTAAAGCTAGTGTGTAGCTCTCTATGTTCACCTTGAAGGCAAGATGAAATTTGTTGGGGCTAGAATTGATGGAACCGTATCTGTTGGACCAAGACTGGAGAAGATTTTTTTCCCATGAAAAAAAAAATGACTTGAGGGGAAGGAGGAAGGGGGGCAGGTAGCTTCGTGATAGTAGTGTTAAGGCGTCTCAAGTTAGGCATCTCTAAGCCTAATTACTATTACATGCTCCATGGATTGAGTGAGGAGGGTAGTGAGGCAAAAGAAAACAGTATGATAGATATGAACTGGGGAGCTAAGTAGGAGGTTAAAGGAATATTTCAATCTGGTTTTGTGTGTAATGGACCCAATGAGAAAGTGGGCTTGGTTTACATTAAGGTAAATAAGAGTGGGCTGCGATAATGTGGGTTTTCATCTTCCCATTTAATAAAGACGTGTAAAATTCACATTGGCTGTGATAATGTGGGTTTTCATCCTCCCATTTAATAAAGACGTGTAAAATTCCACACTGGCCAAGTATTATTCAGATTACATTAGGGAGTGACTCTAGCAACTCAAAACTAGGGAAAACTATTATTCTGCTTTCCTTTCTTTTTATCTTCAGCCTTTTTTTTTTCCCATCTCTAAGTATTGTTTCATGGAATTCTAAAATTTTTTTAAAGGCCGATGGAACTGAGTTGTATTATTTCTGTTTAACTAAGAGTAGTCAGCACAGCCCTCTTTAATGGGTAATGGAAGAGGAATAAAAGCGAAAAATGACTACCAAATCCTAGTCTTAGTGCTGGAATAAGGAAAGAACAGAACAACAAGCAAAAAGTAACTTCCCCTACTTTCAAGAGGTAAGAGGCTCTCCCAACAAGCTGCTCCTGCTGTCTGTCAAAACCCCCCTTGGACCCAATTCCTATTGATGTCTGTCAAAATCAGTTTTGGTTTTGGGAACGCCTTCTCTTGTATTCTTGGCCTTTTTGAATGCTGGGCGCATCATTGGCTGATAATTCTGAGGACTAAAAAGAGGTGTCCATCATACCGTCCTCTTGGACTCCTAATTTCTTCTGTATCTTTTAAATATAATCGAACTTCAATGATTGTTGAACGCTGATGTGGTTTTGGTTGTGTTCTGAATCTTTTGGCTGCCTAAGCAGCTTCTTAGATTATGATGTCTAACAGCTCTGCAGCAGCAGAAAATTTAACAGCATCGAACAGATGCTGATGGCTGTCTGTTTCTGCAGCTGCTGCTGTGGCAAGTAAATTTTAACTTCTTAAGCTCAAATACGCTGTAGAATTCATAGAAACATGGATAACAGATGGCATGCATTTGGAGATGTGTAGAGGGCTTAGATTTTGATGTTAGTGGTGGTTGTGTGGAAGCATCAAAATGGACTCTGATGCCAAATTAATGCCAAACCTGTTGAGGTAGAATTAGGGAAGATGTGAAACAAGGAAGAGTGGTTGTGGGGAATTAGTAGGAGGGAAGGCAGAAAAAATAAAATCCTATATGATGATTTTGATGGGAACATTTTGGAGATTCACACTGCAACAGTTAGCTCGTGAGGCTTGGCCCTATAGACCACATCTCCTATGGAAATGTGTAGAGGTCTAAAAAATGAAGCCTGAACTTAATAAAAAAGAAATTATAATAAAAAATTGTAAAAAGAAAATCTCCTGCCTTTCATTATTTCTGTAATGTTGACATTACACTAATGTATGGCCTAAACTTCAATTGTTAATGATAGGAAGCTAAGTTGTAGAACATGAGCCCGGTGTATGAAACTATGAACTTTTTCCCTTGAATTACGAATTGTTTTCCTAGATAAATTGTATCGTCAATTGTCTCTTAACTCACGGAAAATGATAAAACAAATGAATAACTGCTTTAGTCTATCTTTGATGTGGATTTTGTTATCTTATATGCAGCTAGTACGTTCGAGCAGCAGCTTGGCTCTTTGGTGCCTGGTACCATTGATTTGAAGTTTGATGGTGGATATGTAGTCACTGTGAATCTGGGTTCTGACCAGTTGAAAGGTGTGTTGTATCATGTTCCTCTCAATGGATCCCAGAGTTCTGCATCCATCCCTGCTTCTCAGAATCGAAAGAGATCAAGGTTGGGCTTGCATGATCCATCTCGGCCCAAATCAAACAGGAGTGGCTACAATTTCTTCTTTGCTGAACACTATGCCAGGCTAAAGCCTTCATACTATGGGCAAGAGAGGGCAATTAGTAAGAAGATTGGGTTTTTATGGAACCATCTCACTGAAGCAGAAAGACAGGTACACTAAATGTCTGGCATGCCAAATGTTCTAGTCATTATCGTGCCTGGATATTTTATCCTGACTTGCAAGTCTGTTGGTGTCCATTTGGAGATATATAGTTAACTGAGATGTTATTTGGTTTGGTAAAGATTCAAATCGCATTTTACGTCACTAAATTTTCTGCTGTCTGATTTTAACACTTTCAGCTAGGTGGCTATATATATATATATAGAATTAAATTAAAATATACCTATCCGTGTTCGTCAAATTGCCATGGTGAGCATGAGCCGAAGCCCATAATAGAATCTTAGAAATGCTTGGTGCCTGCATACACTTGCTTGCCATGAAAGGAGCAGGGATGTGAAAATTGCTCCTACTTTCAGCATGCAATATTATTTTATTATTTTATTTATGAATGATGTTCTCATACAATTCATACGCTGCTCTAATGCCAGATTTACCAGGAGAAAGGAAGGAGAGATAAGGAGAGATACAGGACTGAGATGGAGGAATACAAAGCCTCCAATAATTTGACTCCTCAGTAGTAGCCTCCAATTGCTATATTGAATTACTTCAGTTTTGTGCTTGTTTTTTCTTTTTCAGTAAGGAGAATCCCAAGGAACAACTTTGGGATCATACTGGTGGGAGTTATGATGGTAGGGTTTGTGAAACTGGTTGTATTTGTATCTCTTTTAGGGATAATTCATAGTAGAAGCAAGGGTCTCTTGTTCAGCTCTCGATGCTTCATTATTTATTCCCTGGACTTGTTCTCCATTCTTCCCTTCTATCTCTTTCTTTCTTCATGTTTTTTTTTTTTAAAATATATATATATATATATATATATATATATATGCACAGCTAGTTGACTGGGTCACATTTGATTATTGTTGGGTTTAAATGGGAGTAGCTCTGTCAGGAAGTTTTCTGCATTCACGCAGACTCTAACTTGAGATCCTGTGGTACCATTTGGTACGAAGTATTAAAAATAAGAGATTGGAATTGAGATTGGGATAATCTATTAAAAGAGTATTTAGCATAAGAGATTGCTTATTACATGGGATTAAAGAAATTTATGTATGTGGGATTGAGAAATACCATAAGAGGAAGTGATATTCTCCAATCCGATTTCTATGGGTTTGTCTAATCCCATGTAATAAGTAATTACTCATGCTAAAAATTATTTTAATGATTTTTTTTTCCAATTGTAATCTTGGTTCTTATCTCTCATTTTCAATGCTTTGTACCAAATGTAACCTATGTTTAAACAGTCAAAAGTCCCTTTTACTAGAATTATCACTTGTTGGTAGGCTTGTTCTTTCATTTTCATCTTGGATTGGTCATAAGGCCTAGCTTTTGATTTGACCCCACAACAAAGGAAAAATAATCGGTAAAGAAGGAGAAGAAGAATCCATTTTTCCTTTTTTTTTTAAAATATTTTTTAAGGGCTGTAGGGCATCCGATATCTCAAGTTGATTTTACTTCAACTAGAGAATCTATCAGGGGTTTAAATTAAACCGATATCCTTTGCTGTCAGTAGTGTGATTGCATGGATGCAAGGAAACATGTGTTATGCATGTTTACATCCATGCATATAAAGAAAAAATTTAATTCTGAAAATAAAATTTCAGTTGTGGAATATTTAGTAAAAAATTTAGATAAAATTAATTTGAGGGTCCTTATTGTTTCTCTGAATTTTGAATTACATCCTTATAGTCTTTTTCAATTTTATCCCATCCTTATTGTTTCCTCAGTTATCAGTCTTGGTCCTGTTATAAATGCTGTCAATTTAGCTTTACTAGGGGCTGACATGGTGCTGAATACACACCATCTTTCCCATAGGCACCTCCTCCTCCCTCAGATTCCCCCCCCCCCCAAAAAAAAAAAAAAACACTAGTGCTATAGAATGACGTTGCTACTCAAGCTATTACAGCTCATCAAATTCTTGCCAAGATTTTCTATACTAGTGGTCATTGGGCTAGGAGAATGATGACATTTCTTGGATTAGAGAAGAACGCAAAGTTGGAAAGAATTTCTATGGCCTTTTCTTTTCTTCTCCTCCTCGTTCTCCTCTTCCATGTTTCAGATTCTTCTTCTAAGTATTCATCAACATCTTCATTTGTGTTGAAGAGAAAGAAGTGTTGGTGGAGGTGAAAGTGCTTGCTGCTTCCACTAGGTGCCACCATGTTCTATCTGTTGTACCAGGACCAATCTACTCTAGTGTTAATATATCCCAAAGAGCAGGCACCTCTCATTCCCTCGACCCCATGCCGTCTGGTCATTGGATCCGAAGATGGAATGTTTGTGGAATCTCCATGTTGCCGCAAGAGCCAAAGCTGAGTCGCGACAGCTAGCGGAGCACCACGATCTCATCGAACCTTGCTACTTACTCTCAGTCGACTCGAGCTCTGTTACTGCAGAGAGATCGATTGCCATGGGAGGTGGCAACAAGGAGGGTACAATTACAGTTGCGAGAAGGAAGTGATGAATCTGAAACAGAGTGAGGCTTCTGCAAGAGGAGATAAAGATGATGATGATGGTGGTGGAGAAAGAGAGAGATAATGGTGTTGTTTTGAAGGGAACTATGTGGAGTAGGGAGAGAGAGAGAGAGAATCTGAGGGAGTAGGAGGTAACTTTGACGAGATGATGTGCTTACTCGGGTATTTTTCAGCGCCATGTCAGCCCTGATCAACCTAAACTAATGATATTTATAACAAAATGACCAGGACTGATAATAGAGGAACAATAAGCATGGGATAAAAAAAGAGACTTAATTTAGTGAAACTATGAGGACCATCAAATTAATTTTCCCAAAAATTTGGAAAATATTTATTTCAGGCTTATTCCATTATGACTCACTAATATTTATTTCAGGCTTATTCCATTATGACTCACTTCTGTTAGGATCCATAATCTCTTAACGTGTGTCTTCATTCATTCTAGGAATTACCGGGTCAAAAAATTCTATGATTTAAATATTTTCAATAAAACTACACGTAATGACAATAAATTAAAGATATTTTACAGTTTTAAACTAGAATAAAATCATTCTAAAGGCTGTGGTGTGGAAAAGTTCTACTGCGGTTATTTTATGGGAATTTATTTACTTATCGATTTAGTTATTTATTTATTTCCATAACCCAAAGTGGAAGAAAATTCAGATCAGAGATGTACTGCGATTCGTAGGATAATTATATCCTTATTCAACATGCTAGATAACTGCATGAAATCAGTGTAGCCGAAATAGTGTGCACGAAATTCTTTTTTTTTTTTCATTTAATAATTTTTCAATTAAATCGTCAAAATAGTAAGTAGTAAATACGTCACAGAGCGGTATAGGTTCAATGTTCATTACCTGGATTGTGATTTAACCTTGTTGTAATTTCATTAATATATTTGTTATGTGTAACAATTATTTCAGATTAAAAAGGAATAGGAATAAAACTATAAAGTATAAATTTTAAATTGATGAGCAACCTAAACTTTGAAGAAAATATTAAGGAGCTAAAGGATAAAAAAAGAGGATTATTATAATTTAAGAGACAAGAAAGATACACCATGACTAATGCTTTTTATAATTAAAAAAGAACGATAATAAAAATGCGTTCACCAGAAAAAATGACAACAACTTTACCTAAATAAGAAAAACTCTCGATTAAATTTATTAATGCTTTTAAAATTTTTTGATAACGCTCAATAAAGTTCTTCAAATAGAGAATAATTAGGTAGTGAGAACATTTATTTACTAGTTAGGAAATATTAAATAAAAAAAAATATGGACTGAATTTTTAAAAAACTTGTAGAAAACAGCCTTATAATATGAACAGGAGTATGAAGGAATTTGTGCCCTAGATTGACATCATACTTTTACAATACTACTAGCGATTCTACGACATAATGCTTACTTGAAATGCTCCGACATTGATATCATTAATCTCTTTAAGCCAAAAGTCAGATAAATTTACAATTGTGCACAAAATGGTAAGAAAATCGAGAGACCTTAACAGTAAAGGATCATTTCATAAAACAACTAAAGAAACTAAACTTTGCAGGCTTATGTGGGGATAACAACCACCCCAGAAGTGGGTAACAACTGTGAAACAAAAAACCTGAAGACCATAACTAACAACATGAACTGTACTAAAAAGCATAGTGTCACCTTATATAGTCTTTTCTGCACCGTAATTGTCTCCTCAACTCCTAAAATATCACTACAGTAGTTTCCCAGCTCATCTGCTTTGTTCTTGAGCATTGCTGCCTTGCTTTCTGCTATTCCAAGCTTGTTCAGAACCTGTGCTTGCCTTTTGGATGATGTTTCCAGTTCTTCCAAGACTCTGTGTTGATAAGCTTCTGCAACCTTAAAATTCTGCATCATTTTTGTGATTATCAGGTATTCAATCTCTGCTTCTATCTTTTGCCTGAAGAAGCCCTCAAGTTCAGATTCCAGTTTAAATTTCTCTGCCAATAAGTTAACGGTGCTACCTGATTCTTCGGTAGGAAGTTCATGACTTCCCAGGACTGTTGCAAGTTCATGAATCCTGGAATCCCTCAAAGCAAGCATACCCTGTAATTCATTTAACTTGCTTTCCAGCACATTCGCTTTCTGTGTCAGGATCAGAATCTGAAGTTCTAAGGAACTTGAATATGTTGGTTTGGTTCCTTCTGCATCAGATTGACCAGATAAGCATGATTCACGGAGTCCAGGATCTAGAGCAGTAATATCAGCCATTACATTGCTTGACTTGATCGAGTCATAATCTGATGAGAGGGGTTCATTCCTAATCTCCCCAAATTTCTTGATTTCTGCAATAGTACATATGAATCAGATTTTAGATTTTACAGTATGAAGAGACACATGCAATACTTAATACTTTCATTAAAGACTAATCATGCACTCCAAACAAGGAACGTCATATAGAAAATTGGATTTCTTCTCGCGTATGATACAATAGCAATAAGAAACCAGCCAAACCAACTTTAAGTCATGTTTTTCAGTAGTCTTCTCAAAAGGGTACAACATGCATGATTACAAAAGAAAGAGTCGCTGCCAAAGCATAATGTTATACGCGTTAGAATTGCAGTTAAAGCTAGGTCATCCCATGAGTTATTAAGATTTCAACGGGTACCTTACTAAAGACCCAGAAAAAAATCAAATCAGCTTACACTTGTCATTCTTCAATACTAAGCATAAACAAAATCTTTGTCTAGTAGGCTGTGGACCTTGTATGAAAAGTACAATCTTCACAACTTAAATTAGATGGAAAACCCTAAAGCAAGCTATTACATATCTGGAACAACAGCACTACATCTCCTATTAAGGACTGAAAATAAGTAATCAAAGAAAATACCGATTAATGATAATATCCAATTTACGGACAACATTGATATTTTACTACCTTTCGAAGTTTGAATAACCAAGAAGAAGATGAAGCAAAGAGGGGAAAATTAAAGTGGGAAAAGGACTGATGGAACATGAACAGACATCTAGCAAAAGATAAGAAACTTCCCACCACCTCACATAACACAATAAAGAGAACCATTTCACATACCAAATTATTTTCCGATAAATTCCTCCAACTTATTTTCACAGTCATAGTGAGTTTAGACTCTAGACAACCAATAGATGACTCTGAATTTACATATTCCTTTGTAAAATTTGCTCATGAAGAATTTTGTCAATAGAATATACTTGACAAGAAATTGTTTGACAACTTCGAATGATTAGGGAATAGTAAAGTAAAACAAGTATTAACATATAAGAAATTTTTACACTAGAT